ATCTTTTTCCCCTAAACACTAGATATTTCAGGTGAATGTTTATGAGGATCTTGAGAAGCATGTGGATGAGGAACAAATGACATCACATCGTTGTCTTACTGTCAGACTACCCTAGAGCTGAATCAGGCATTTGTCTAATATATTCTGAGGTAAGCCGTACTTTTGGCATAGTTTATGCATGTGTATGGCTGGAAGTGGGAGAGAATGGGCAGGGAGTGGAGAATCATAGAGAGGAGGAGGAAGATCTAAAAGGGGAAGAAAAAGGAAAGGAAAGAGGTTATTGGCAACGATAGGTCAACCTTTCCTCTTAAAGACATGAGGTCATGAAAACTGGTCCAGGCTATGTTGGGAAAAGGCACTTTATCTTAATGAATTGTCAGGTTGTAGGCTGTGATGTGGTCATTTTACTTAAAAAGATCCCAGAGAGTTTTATTGTTTAAGAATTTACTGTATGGCAAGATTAAGCAATTGCTTTTTGAAATTCTACTACTTCTAAAGTAAAGCAGAATTAGATAATTACAGTAATATTATTGATTGAAACTTCTTAGTGGATTTAAGAATGTACAAAATATCCTTAAGTTAGCAATACATATTGATGCATTTATGGGTGAAATGATATAATGTCTAATGTCTGAGATTTATTTTTAAATGCACCAGAAAAAAAAAGTGGGTGGAGGAGAGATGAAACAGGATTAGAAAAATGTTGATAATTTTCAAAGCTGAGTGAGGCGTTTATTATTCTGCTCTGCTTTGGGGTATATTTGTTAAATTTCTGTAATAAGCATTTTTTAATTTTATAAAAGGATGTAGAAAAAATGTAAATACAAAAATAAAATGAACATCTCTTCTTCCAGGATATAACAAAAGTGGCTTTTTGTCTATACCCAGTAGACATAGGTAGCATTTCACACAGCAGTGGCTGTCAAAGGTTAGGCCTCTAGATTTTTCCTTGGAACTCAAAAGTAAATGCAAGTCTTGGCAATGTGTGGTGAGAACTGAATGTATTTTCCCTAATGTGATTATTTATAGGTAAATATGTGATTGGGGGATAAGGAACGCAATGATTTCCTCTGTTTTCTTTTGAAAATTATAAAAATCAGGAGTAGAGTGGTTCACAGGGTGCTTCTTTTCAGTGCTGCTCCTTCCCAGAGGCATTTATTTGTCACTATAAAGATACTTTTCCCCTGAACACCCAGATACTTCATGTAGTCTGTGGGGTCTTTTGCCAAGCTATAGTTATTCTCAAAAGGGAAAAAGTTGGGGATTGCTTCTCTGTAGTAATAGGGTATCTGTTCCTTTTGGCCTGAAACAGCAAGGAGTCCTTTGGAGCCCTTGGGGGAGTGTAGCCAACTACCCTAGACCACTAGTGGCACTACAGTTAGTTCCATTTGGCAGAAATAAATTGTAAACTTGTTGACATTTTTTGTCCTCTTTACAATTCATTGTTTATTTCTCTATGACAGAGAATTTTGATGCAATTATCACTGAGCTTTCTGACAAAGGGAAATAGCTGAGGAATTTTGATGAGTTACCCACTTATTAATCAGAACAAGCATCTCTAGTGACAGGGTTAGAATTACAATGAAGATTAGATAGCAAATTGCTGTTCCACGTAACGTCAATCATTCCCGATGACAGCAGTGTGATTACACTTCAGGGAAGAGCTTTTCCTGCCAACAAAAAGAGGGCAACTTCAGTGCAGGTAATAAATTTAGCAGGGCAAACTGTCATTTCTTCTCTTGAGTGGAATCCTTAACAACCAAATGGTGTCTTGTAGAAGATTTTGAGAGGAGAAAAGCATTTCGCTGAGAAAGTTTCTAAATTTCACTTTGTAGTATTTTATTTTAAAAATTATTATAGATATAACTTAGGAACAATCCTTCCCACAGTGATTTTCAGTATTTTTTTTAACCTGTACCAAGCCTTAATTATCGCCACAACGATGTAAAGAGTTGTGGAAGTTAATAAAAGAATGCATGACTATATTTGAAAATCTATCAGAATAAAAACATGCAGAAATAACTGAACTAGGTAAGAAATGGAGGTAGGTCAGACTAATTGTTTGTCTGGCTAGTTGAAACTTTAAGTTCTTGCAGTTTAAAAAGAATATATTCCTCTTTCAACCCAGTTGTAGTTTTAAATAATAGTTCTGTTTCAAAGAGCAAAGGGATAAAGCACTATTGTAATTCCAGAGTGCATAATAACTGCAGAGGAGAAACTGACCTGGGAACAAAAGGAATAGCTGCGTAATAGAATAAATAGATCAGGACTATGGAGTACACCCCTTCTTGTCCCTTCTAAATAAAGCAGAGTACTAGCTAGCATCTTTTCCCAGAGAAGACGGACAGTGTTTTCCCTCCCCAAATATTTTTTTCCAAGCACGTTTATGGTATTTCTGTTTGCCTGAATAATATTGGTTGTGAATAAAGAATAACTGAACAGTTATCCTTGATTCATAATTTTATTTTTTTATTTAAATTTTAATAGGATTGTATTTTGAGAAGGCAGGGGAGAAAAACAATTTTTTCCCAAAAAAATCAAGAAAGCAATTGCTGTATGAGTCTGTCATTTTGCTGCTATTAACTTCTGTGCAGTGAAACTGAATGATAGACCTTTAAAACTGATCATTTTGCTCTCAGAGTTTAAACTTAAGTAAAGTTTAAGTTTACATAAAGTTTCTTTAAGTATTTTTAAAGAAATATATTGACTCAAATGTATTTTAAAGAAATATATTGACTATAGCATTTATAAACTCAAATTTTCTCCCTCTTAAATTCAGACAAGTTCTAGCAGTGCTTTTCTACTCATAGTAAATTATATATCAAGTTCTCTCTCTTTCGAAATAAAACAAGTAAAGAACTTGCTTTTTTTTTTAGGAGAAACTTTTTTCCTAAGAGATTAGAGTCATCAGGATGCCGGAATGTTTTAGTTTTAGCCTTAGATCTACCACTAATTCTTCACTTTGTAAATTTAGTTATTAACCCTTTCATACTTGAAGTTTAGCTTGGTAAGGTGTAAATCATAATAATATCCTCAGTCTCCATTTTATAATGATAGTCTACGAATTAATAAAATAGTACATGAAGGGTGCTTTGAACTTTACAGAGAAAAGGAATATAGAAATCCAAGAAGGGCACTATTAATAATGTTATTATTGTTAGGTAGATTATGTTTGTGCTACTTCATCATTAGAATTAGCCTAGGAGTTCAAATTAAGTCATTCAAGAGGAACCTCTTAAATGAATCTGGTAAGTAGACACAGGATATGTTCTTTTGACTATAGCACACAAGTTTATACTGTTGTTTTTTTTTCATGCTATATTTTGTGAGATAGATAAAAATTAATAATGGAAAAGCATACTCCCTCAACCTGGCAGCTGTGTGTTTTTTTCTTTGTTATGACTGAAGGCATATGCTATATTCAGCAAATCTCCCTTCCTCCATTCCTGGCTTCCTCCCTTCTTCCCTTCCTCTCTCTCCTTCCATTGGATCTAAGGCAAAAGTCTGAAAAATGTACTCTCGTGTGACATAATGGAAAAGGAACAAGGGCTTTTTAAAGTTTTCCATGGTTTCTCCTGATGGGAAATAAACAATATTTTGTAGTTTGTCTAAATGGAAATATAACTAGTTTCCTATGAAAATATTTGTGGCCGAATGGGCTATTTCTAAGAATTCTAGCATTTGTTCCCTTATGTTATTGGTCTTTTAAATATATATTCTCCCTCCCTATAAACTCTCAGAAGTAGAGATTATATCTTAAACAACTTTGTTCAGAGTTCCCAAATTCAAACATAATGGTGGGTGCTTACTAAATATCGATATAGTGAAAGATAAGTATGTTTATAAAGATGCAGTAAATTAGGCTGACCCTAATTCTTAAAACTAGCCATCAGGCATCCCTTGTACCTCCCACAAAGTCACTTCCTATGAAGTTACTTTCTATTTTAGTTCTCCCCATACTTGGTACCACTCCCAGATTTTCCATTCCTGTTTATTGGACCCAGTCCCTTTCTTCCAGATGCTCATAGTCTAGTGGAAACCAATACACAGGTGATGATGAGTATTGTGACTGAAGAAAGGATTGGTTGCTCTGGGAAGGCAGTAGAAGGGCACTTGTGTATGGGGAGAGTGGTTGTTAGTAGGAGGGTGACTCCTGAAGTAGTCAGGCTGAGAGAGAGCAAAAAGGGACCAAGAAATTAATATGGCCATTGATAGAAGAGTAGGAAGCAGCATGGTTGATGTAAGGCCAAGAGCTGAAATTAATTTGATGTAGTCAAAACAAAGTTTGCTGTGAAGATAGAAGATGTAAGCAAGGACTAGATCTCAGAGATTTTCTTGGACTGGGACCATGAGTGCTTTCTGAGGATTTCCTCAGGCTCAGTAGACCTTATCTGATTTGTTGTCAGATACATGTAATGGAGGTTGCAAGCAGGCTGAGTAGCTAGTCTCTGTAGGCCTACTCACCAAGGCCCTATCATGGTCAATCATAGCCCAACTGAAGCTATTGCATTTTAGCTGTTTTGTTTCCAAGGAATAGAGACCCCATTCTGTTCTTATGGGATCTCCCATGTTTGTTTGTGCAGGACATCAGCGGTGTTACTAACAAGATTTAGTTAAATGATTAGTCGTTTAAACTTTAAGACAGCCTGGGAGGGAGATACTGTTGGAAGCAGGTCTTTCAAGCCTCTCAAACAGGCCCCTTAACTTAGATCTTAGATGTGACTGTTACTCCAGCTTCCCATATTACTGGTGCCTTACAATGAGGATTAAATATGCTAGTTTAAGTCATGAGAATGAAACTGCCTCAGTTGCATGACTTGAATATTTCTTGTCATTATTAGCATAAAGTAATTGTGCTTTGTTCCCCTTCCATCAAAACAACAGTTCCTAGTTTTTTTCAGAAAAAGTGTGAAGAGGGAAATCTGAGGAGAGAGGGCTCTATTAGATGTTAGAAACACCAGCGCTGATCAGTAGTTATTTTCTAAATGTTTCCATTGCAGTGTCAGAAACGCTATTTCTCTGCCTGGCACAAGCTGATTCTTGATCACAAGATTAAGCTGGGGAAAGCTGGGACCCTGTCTGACTGGAAGTTTCAACTGAAGGTCCTGCATGCCTGGAGAGACTACACAAGATCTCAGAAGTTGAAGCGGGAGACTCAAGCCATGGAAAATGACCTTCGGGAAGAAAACAGGTACTATTATTTGTGCCTTGAAAATCCTAGTATGTTTATCTAGGACATCCTTCCTCATGAAGGATCCAGAAATGAACTCTAAAACTGCTGTTCACTGGAATCATCTCATCCATGTAGAAAATGTGGTAATCACTGTTTTCCTGTGTTATATCCCAAACTAGAAAAATTTAACTGAAAATTATAAGCAGAAAAATAATTTGATTAAAATATACTAATGTGCATGCTTTCCTTTTTTTAAGGAAGCAAATATTATGCTTTTTCCCTTGTCCTTTGATGTAGTAGCATTGCACTTGGACCATCTTACAATTCAAAAGACAGTTTGGTTTATATGCCAGTAATTCACATTGGTAGAAATCACTGTCTGCACATAGAATATTAATTAGGGACACAGGGAACATCCATCTGGGAGGGCAGACCTGCCAAGAGTGATTCCTCCCATTCCCCCATCTTTTGTTCTCCACTTTGTATAGAGGATTTTTTCTTTTTTGCCCCAGCTTTATTGAAGTATAATAGACAATTAGTTGCTCATATTTGCATTGTACAATTCAATTAGTTTTGTTTTTTCAATTATAGTTGGCATACAAGAATATATTAGTTTCAGTTGCATGCATAGTGATTCGCTACATAACTCACAAAGTAGTCACTCCACTAAATCAAGTATCTCTTCCTCCTGACGTATTTTTTACATTGTTGACTATTTTCCTTATGCTACACTTTATATGACTATTTTGTATATCCATTTGTACTTCTTTATCCCTTTGCCCTTTTTCACCATCCCCGCAACCCCCCTCCCATCTAGTAGCCCTCAAAATATTCTCTGTATCTATGAGGGGTTTTTTTTTGTTTTTGTTGTCATTTATTTTGTTCATTAGATTCCACATGTATATGAAATCATGTGATATTTGTCTTTCTCTACTTGACTTATTTCATTCAGCGCAGTACCCTCTAGGTCCATCAAGTCAGTATCTTTTTCCATCCCTTTCCTTTTAGTCTGTGTGTGTCTTTTAATCTGAAGTGAGTCTCTTGTAGGCAGCATGTGTAAGGGTCTTGTTTTCTTATCAGCCACTCTATCTTCTGGTTGGAGCACTTAATTTTTTTCCATTTGAGGTACTCGTTGATAGGAATGTAGTTATTATCATTTTTATTCATGTTTTTGATACATGTTTTTTCTTCTTAAAGAAGTCACTCCAACATTTCTTGTAATACTGGCTTGGTATTGATGAATTCCTTTAGCTTGTTTTTGTCTGGGAAATTCTTTATCTGTCCTTTGACTCTAAATGATAGCTTTGCTGAATAAACTATTCTTGGTTGTAGATCCTGGGTTTTCAACACTTTGAATATTTTGTGCCAGGCCCTTCTATCCTGCAAAGATTCTTTTGAGAAGTCAGCTGCCATACTTATGAGAGCTCCCTTGTAGGTAACTAATTGCTTATCTCTTACTGCTTTTAAGATTATCTCCTTGTATTTAATCTTTGGCATTTTAATTATGATGTGTCTTGGTGTTGGCCTTTTTGGGTTCATCTTTTTTGGGACTCTCTGAGCTTCCTAGAGTTGTATGTCTATTTCCTTCACCAGATGAGGGAAGTTTTCTATCATTATTTCTTCAAATATAGATTCAACTTCTTGTTCTCCCTCTTCAGGTACCCCTATGACATATTGTTACCCTTAAATTTATCCAATAGGCTCCTTCAATTATTATTATGTTCTTGGTTACTTTTTTCTTGGCATTCTGGTTGGATGTCCTTGGCTCTCTCATGTCAGTGTTTTGATCCTCTTCTTTATCCACTCTGTTGATTCCGTCTAATATACTCTTCGTCTCAGATAATATATTCTTCATTTCTGACTAGTTTCCTTTTATGATTTCCATTTCCATTTTTATGTTTATCTCTTTGTTAAAGTTCTCACTGAATTCACTTCCCTTAATTTCCCTTAATTTCATAGAGCATCTGTATATCCAGTGTTTTGAACTCTACATCTGTTAGATTGCTTGACTCCATTTTTCCTTGATCTCTGTTCTGTTCTCTCATATGGTTTCTGCTTCTTTGTCTTCCCGTTTTGGCTGCCTTTCTGTGTCTGTTTCCATGTACTAGGCAAAGCTCCTAAGTCTCCCAATCTCATTAGCATGACTTTGTGTAGTAGGTGTCCAGCAGCACAGTCCTGAAAGGGGTTCAGCTGCAGGCCAAGTTTAGCACCAGCCTGTGCTCTCTTTGTTCACCTGTTAAGATTCAGCAAGCAGTCCACAGATGCTGTGCTTATAGTTACTTCAAGAAGCCACATCAGAAACTGAGGCCAGATGCCACCAGTGTGGGTTTTGGTGCTGCTCAGCAAGGACAATGGACTCACCGGTGACACAATTGAATGTGGCTTGGGTGGGGCTGCACGTTGGGGGAAGCAGAGTTTCAGGGAATCCTCTGGGCAGAACGACTTCTGTTATCCTGTTTGATGACGGCTCAGCTATGGCGGCATTGCACACTGGGAGGGGAAAGGGCTCAAGAGAGGAGCCATGGATACTGCCAGCACTTCTGTCAGTAGAAAGCCTCACCTCTGGCCCTCGCTCAATGCCCCGCTGTAAGTTCCTAGTGATCCCCAAGCAGCCAACCCAGTGCTGTTGCTCAGAGTGAGCAGGTCCGTCACTGGAAAGTCCACTTGTGGATACGGTTCCTTTAAGAGGCATCTGCAGCTGCCAACTTCCGCTGGCGTAGCCTCTGTCCCACTGCCTGGGGACCAGGCAGCCTCATGTCTTAGTCCTCTCCTACTTCCAACCATTGCAGGGTGATTTCTTATTTCTCTCCCTAGTTGTAGGGCTTCTGTTCATGTAGATCCTAGGAGAATCTGCTTGCTGTTTGCTCTGTTTCCATCTCATCTTTGATGTGGTCACAAGAGAGGATGAGTGAAGCTTCTGTCATCTATGCCATTTTGCCCGGTCCTCTCCAGAGGTTTTAACACCTTTATATCAACTCCCTCTTATTCTTGTGAATGACAGAATTTGTCTTCAAATAAAACTTTATTTGCTCTGTCATCTTAAAGTTAAATATATTTTGTTCTTTTCATTTCCAAGATTAACTGCATTCTTGAACCAAAATCGTGGATGTAAAAGGAACCATTTGTTTATTTGGGAGAGAGCAGTTCACATTCTTTTGTGTGCTCACTTCTCTGCCAGCAATTCTGTTATTCACTCAGGGTGAAAAATTGAATGAATAGTATGTAAAAGCATTGTTATGTAGAAGAGAATGGTGCCCCCTGGAGTTGTACAGCCTTGTTGACAGCATCAGGCCCTGGGGAGGAAACATAGCAGACTGATGCAGGGCCCCTTGTCCTCAAACTACTCACAGTTTGGTGAGGAGAACAAGATCTAGAAACAGTACATGTGTTGAGTAGCATTATAAACTGAGTAATGCGTCCCTTCCTGCTGCTATTACTATGGCTGAGAAGGCTCCTACATAGTGCCAGGAAAGGCTTTATCAAAAAGATAGATCTTGAGCTGGGCTCTGCGTGATTAACTAGGATGTTCCTAGGTGGAAATGCGGAGACAAGATGATGGCATGGAGTTTAGCCATCTGGATTGGCTGGAGATCATCAAGTATGTATGTGGTTATCAAGTTCATTAGTTTGCAAAAGTCCTTTAATTCCAGGACAAGGGATTTAGGTATTCTTTTGCAAATAAAGGTAAATTCTTTAAGGTTTTTAAGCAGGAGGGTGACCTAATCAATTTAATTTTTTTACAGTATGCTGGGGGAAATCTTCAGTTAAAAAAAAAATTGATATAATAGATTGGGATGATAGTCTAACTGGAAAAGGAATGGCTGGCAGGATTTGTTGGATAAAGAAGGGAATCTAGAGGTGTTGTAAAGGGGAAGCAACAGGAGTAAGGATGTGAAGGAAATGGAAACTGAATGTTAAAGTTAAAAGCGGCCTGTGAAATTTACATGCCAGAAGAAACTTGTAAAAGGAAAAATCTAAAGAACTTGAGATTCTATTCCAATTAAAGTGTTTAAATATAAAAACACTAAATGGGGATTTCATAATAGCATAATGTGCCAATGTTTTTAAAGATCTCAGAACTTTTTGTCTCATATCTGTAAATTATTTTCAGGTGTCTATTTTTAAATGTTCAGAATGGGTACTACTTTTTTTAAACTGCCAGAGATAAAAAATATTTAACTTATAATAATTTTTTACTACAAAATTTTAAAGCAAAAATATCTTAGAGCAGAAAGACACTTCAAGGATCATCTAATCCAGCCCCTCATTTTACACATGATAAAAATAAGATCCAGAGAGAGTGAACAATCTTCTGAAGGTCATAAAGTTAAGAGTAGCTAGTCCAGGACTAGGGACTGGTCTCTGATTATGACTGAGTCAGATACTTTTTCCTATCCCACACAGCTGTGGTAAATAGCATCCAGGTGATGGTTCCCTAAGACAGCCATGTTTTTCAGTTGTATCGCAATTTACTTTAGACGGTTGCAAATGTAAATAGGAAATGACAAGTCATGCTAGAAACATGATACATGATCTATCAGATACAAATGATACTTTGTGTTGCTTTCCTACAAATTCCTGACTCCCTGCATGTTCCTCTTTGTTCTAGGGATTGATTTAGGATATTGAGTTGCATGATTTTGTTCAAAGAAGGAATATTGGAGTATTAAAGGTGGAAAAAAAAGTCAAAGGTAGCTACTGCAAGCAGAAACCAAGAAATGTCAGTGGGATTGAGGTTATCAGGAGAGCTGGGACCCTCTTTACTATACTCATCAGAGTTCTCCCAGTAGCTCACTGGACACAATACATATTCGTTGAATAGTAAGTCAGTGAATGAATGAAAAGCTCAGTTGCTTCCTCTCCTGCAATTTAACTTGATAATATTTTCAGTCCTTTTTTCTAAATAGTGAGCTCAAGGGATAGAGAGCATTTACTGTAATGGGTTAGAAACTAAACTCTTACCAGGTTGACAAAACATAGATGGTTCTGTGGCCCATCCACCTGGATAGAAATCATTT